ATGTAGTATTTCATATTTTTCTGTGAGCCATGCCTTAAAGGCACTGAGAAGTATCATCTCTTTCTTGTTGTCGAAATATCAAAGTAAAATCCTTTTTTCTAATATCACTTTTAAGATGGGCCTAAATTGCTTTTCATCTTCGCAAATCGATTTCCCGGATGTGTGGACGCGTCGAAGTTATGACAAAATTGGCGGGAATATTTCTGTTATTTCGCTCTTCAGTGGATATTTTCCTTGTATTGTGATTAATTGTTCTAATATTATTATCAATATGTAATATAAATGTTTAAGGAAAAAATTTCGCTTTTTGAACAAATACTTGGCGCTTTGTTTCCTTTTCGAGCGGACGATGGGTTTCCTGTGGTGGTACACGGAATCCAGGACGGAMGGACGGACGGAAACGTGYGTACGMGCGGGAACCCTGTGTCGGTCCATTGAAAATCGACTCGATGGCAGATTTCGGCCCGCGCTGGAGCTTCGCTATAAATTTAATTGTTCTTATGAAACCTTTTAAGTATGGTTATTAAAATTATCATAATATATTTTTTTGCATGTAATTTAGTGGGAAGGCTGAGTACGTGTTATATTTTAACAAGAACCTCTTCGTGGACTGAACATAGTACCTCTTGCAATGCCTTGTTATTGGTTAACTCTAATCAGCCAATTGTCATAAGGAGACCTATTCATTCAAGTGGCAAAAACAGCTGCAATTTAGCCGCTGCTATTTAAACAACAAATATTTGATAACTGGATAACATTAAACATTGTTTGGCTGCTTGTGCATTGTGTGTGGTGCTTGAAAAGTAGTTTGAACAACTAGAATAGTCCTAGTTGATCTGAAACTCTTATTAGACTTATTAGTGAGTTTGGTGTCACTATTATTTTGTTCTCTTATTGGGCTGTTAAACTCATTTATGATTTGTGTTATTACTACGTTTCGACGCCGTTGTGGCCGTCTTCTTCATGTATAATGCACTGTTTGTATCTTTGAAACTGGGTGATTTGAGAAAATGCGACTAGCCAATCAGCGCAAAGCTGACAAGCTTATGTTGTAAACATAACCCTCCGACGGGAGGAATTTGCACAGCAAAACTCGACCCAGTGGAGTAGGCTGCCTGTCATTTTATTCTATCCGAAAAATCGAAGCTAAAACGCAAAGAGAAATTGAAAATCTTTATAAAATAGCTTTTAAATGTCAATCAAATATTTATCGTTATAGAAATAGAATTTTATCTTAAAAATGAAATACCTAATATTTTTTTCTTTAATACCACGAGACTCTCCTCCGTGATAAAAATAATTGTTCTGTGTTCTACGCGGGTTCTCCACTGCATGCGAAGCAATGGCCGACTCTACGAAGACTTCAGAAGGTCGTCAGAAGCGATGTTCAAGTACAAAGTATCTTAGGAGGAACCATTTCAAATCCTTTTTCTTAGCTCAATTGTTTCCTCTAACCTTTGAGGTATCTACAACATTACTGGAAGAGCTAGAGCAGCTTAGTTAGGTCCACGTATTCGTTTGTTATAGTTTGTGGTACAAACAACTGTCGTAGTTCATCCTTTGTCGCATTTTCGGCAATRAGCCGCAAGCKTGCTCGAYGATTTGACGTTATGTAACAGGYCAGTTACACATTTACTAGCTTTGAACTTACTATACAACGAGAGCTAGAACGATGACTGGGGTTTTTCGTGTAATGGCTTGGTAGCGACTGTTTATGTTGAAACGACTCAAAACAAAATTCCATCGTGAAAAAATATCGACTAAATTCCCTTCTGAAAAACACGTGCATGTGTATTTAAGGTGGAAAATGTTTCATATGAGCATTCAATTCTCAGTAAAGGTTTAATCCTATAATCATTTTGTTTAGTTATGTAAATAAATTTAACACGACTTGTACTGTTTATCTGAGTGGAAGGAGAGCTGCGGGTTTTCCCTTTCCTTTATCTACATTTTCAAATATGACCGCTTAACAAAAATGCACGGGCTCACTGGCTTACAACCTTGGCGAATTCATATGCAGGCCTGGTCGCAAATCAATCACCCAGAATGAGTGATCCTCAAAAATCAATGTCTACATGAATATTAAGTAAGACAGTATTTGTTACACGGATTTTGTACACTCCAGGAGCCCATTATCTCCCTTTTCCTGAACAAAAATAAAATAAAACTAAAAAAAGGAATCAAGAAAACATCGAAAAATAAAATGGCTCTCAAAACAATTTGCACATTTTTTATTTATCATTTACATTTACGAGTTAGGAAGCAAAGGCAAATTCCCGCGAAAATTTCCCGCCATTCTTGTCGACGGCCCCCTCTTTTCAAAATTGCGGGACCCGTTCCTAATTATTAATTAATTTGATTAGAAATTAATTTAATTATCCAGTTAATCTGGAAGCGCTCTTGAATGTATAAAAAGAAGTGACTGTACAGCAGTGCACGTCTGTTGCCTAAGCAATAATAATAATAAAAAAAAATCTTAACAAAGTCAATCCTGTGTTTTTTAAAATCATTTATTTTGTCCTCAGTTTGTACAAGAGGCTGACAATGACTACACTGGTTTCATCTTCATCTCAGCTCTCTTAGCGGAATAGTAAAAACCCTTCCAGTAATACCAGTTCACACCGTCAGCAAATGAACTGTGGTTACCGCGGTGGTACAGACCATTAAGGTTGGAGTCGTGGCAAGCGTTGTACCACCAGGCACCCTTGTACACTACAGCACAGTTATCACCCGACTTATCATTATCACGATCTTTGGTGGTGAAAGCCATACCTTGTTGTAATGACAATGAGTCCCCTGCTGTACCTGAATTAAAAGATCAATTCTAGACTCTAGACATTCTTCCAATGAGCATTCAACTATGGGTCACATGACAGGAACTATAACTCAAGTTATAAACACTGATTAATTAAACATGAGTTTTATAACTCATGCATATTACATCAGTATTGTAACTGATTTACAGACACTCGATGTATGCCCAACACTAGAAAAGTTCTCAGTTTTAGACTCTCATCATAGAACTTCACTAGGTCTCGAGTBAAAATTRCTTMTTTGCAGAGTCACAGTACACTAAAACATAGTGGCGCTTGGATGTGGGAAATGCTCATGCTCAGATGGAGATATCTTCATCAATTATTCATTTTTGATATTATTATATTTATTTCATGTTTATTGTGGTTTCTTAGGTTTGGGTTTTAGAAGTCATTTAAAAAACTCGTAGATCGTGTTTTATCGTGGATATAAACACTCGGCCTTCTGCCTCGTGCATTTCTCAATTTTTCCAATAGCCCGACGTCACGGTCTAATGTCGCTAGGTGACATCATGATATCCAATACGTTTTTTAATTCAAATTGAGCTCTCAGGCCAAGAAAATAAATACTTTACAAAATAAAAGATGCCTATAAAATAATCAAAGTCGCTTTTTGCTATTGATAAACATAGTTTCTTCTTGTTCTAATTTGAAATCTTTGCCCACACAAGACCGTCTAAAGCTAAAAAGGCCATTGATTCAGTTTCGTAAGCATACTACTCGAAGCTCCATGCGATCTGCACATGCGCGACTAATTATGAAACACCGTCAATCCTCTCTTAAGCGGTTACCATTAATTGACATGTCACTCATGAATTCTTCGTTTTCAACCACGTGATAATTGAGGCCGAATGACATCGTCTCGAATTTCAAGAGCTTTATTCATAAACGTACTGAAATATAGCATTCACAATCCTTTTGAGCATTCCGAAACTACTTATATCCTCGAAGTTAAGAGTTCGTACAGCGTCTTGTTACAGGTGCGTAGCGTGGACGTTTTGGCTAGTACGCACGTAAGGAACAGCACACATATTTTGGATTGGTGTGCTAACGATCGCTGAGGGATGGAGTGTTATTTAGTGAAATTTTGAAACAATAACTCTTGGAAATGCGATTTCCAGTGTTTTGAGGGGCATCGCGAGCATATAAAAGGCATCAAATTCCTTGCCACTAGTACGCATGTGCGTAAATGTGTGAAGGACGCTAAGCGCCTGAGTTACTCAATCATTTGCGATTGAATATGCATAATATTTGGTGAAGAATGTATGCGGCAGCCATGTTGTGAGGACGACTCATATCCTCCAGCATGACGAATGATACGTCTGGGAAGAAGGCAAAATCGCACAATTTCGATCATTTTCTACAATAATACACTTAAAATGGAGGGAACTATATAAACTCACCCTTTACCTATTTTCATCAGTAAGTTATTTCACATACTTTTTTACGGTGTTAAATTTATCTTTTTACATAACTGTCACTTAAAATGGATACAAGGATACTATATGAGGCTAAATGTCAATTTTATATCACTGTCATCACTAACTGGCGTTTCTATTCGATCTAAATTTTATGTATCGCTCTTTTGTTGACGTCATCAAAAGACGGTTTACTACTGTAAAACGTGACCTCTCTTTACCGATAAACCTCTGGTCTTTCTCCAAGGTGACCGTTTAATGGAGGTTCGACTATATCAAAAATGACAACAAATGTATGACAATTATTTGTTTAAACAATGAAAAAAACAAAGGCAGACTAAGACCAAATGGCGATAAATAACAATATTTTTTTTACCTGAATAGGACTTAAAACTCATTCTGTAATTGTCTTGTTCATTTGCCACAGCAAAGTTGTCATACTCGGCATACGCGGTCTTTCCTTTGGTATCCTCCAGGTCAACTCGAAGGCGTTGTTTTCGTTCTTTGGTCAACCGATGGATCTTATCGAGGCCCAACCAGAACTCGCCGTTTAGATCTCCAAATCCATTCTTATAATCATTCCATCCTCGGTAAAAGTCCACCGAACCGTCTTGTCTTTTTTGGAAAACTGTCCATCCTCCACCAGCAGTCTTCTGGTCGCAGGAAACCTGAATGAACAAATACAAATGAATGCATACATGGGGAATTCTTAAAATAATTTGATTCCTAAAACGTATTTCCACAGCTAATATCTTGATTGAGAACAAAAATAATTGGGATTAGAGAACCGGCTTGTATAACATCACTCGAACTGCAAAATATACAATATATCTCAGCTTCTAGGTATGTAAATATATGAAAAAATGCTAATAGCTAGAAATTTCTGAAGTTACAGTTAGAAGACTTACGTTGAATTTCCCATCTCCATCAGGGTCAATGACGTAAACACCACTTCTTTTGAATCCGCTTCTATAGAATTCGGCACAGTTTTTGAGAACTATAACATTAATAAAAAAATGTTTTTTAGAGTAGTGCTGAAACGCGTTGAAAGAATGTTAAATAAGTTTAATTAAAAAGCGTTTGAACTTTATTTCAACATCTGTTCAACATTTCGTTTGACCTCAAAAATGTTGGGTGATATTGAAGAAGTTTGCGCAGTTATTTCGCAATGTTCACAGGAGTTTTTACAGTCAAAAAAAAAATTAGAAAGTCTGTTGTGACACGTCAAATTGTGATGGTCTCAAAATGCCGTCTAAAACGTGGGCAGACTGACGTAATGATAAAAAAAAAACTAAACGTAGGCAATCTATTGTTTGGTTTGGTTTGGTTTTGGTTTGGTTTGGTTTGGTTTGGTTTGGTTTGGTTTGGTTTGGTTTGGTTTGGTTTGGTTTGGTTTTGGTTTGGTTTGGTTTGGTTTGGTTTGGTTTGGTTTGGTTTTTTAATCGATAGAACGAAACAACCTTTATTTCAAGTCATAGAACAAGAGAAATGCAGAAAAATGTCCGAAATAATCCTGCTTGACAAGGTTGTCTGATATACAAGTTACTGGGCACTTTGAGATTAATTTCAATCGCTGCATGGTTTGTTATATGCTCATGCATGCATTTTCCTATCAAATGCAGTTTTTTTTAACTGGAAAACTAAACGTCAGGCAATCGATTTTTTTTTTTGAAAAATATTGCTAGAGAGATCAAACTTTAGTTTAGTTTATAAATTTAGTTATAAATTTAGAGTTTTTATCTTTTCGTAAGTCTGCCTGACGTTTAGACACTCCTTAAAAACTATGTAGATATCAATTAAGCATGCTATTCTCTTTATTTCAACAAATCTATATAAAAAAATCACGAATGATGTCTCGGAAGAGCAGTGATCCTCATCATGCTTCATTTCAGGGTTATGGTAGTAGTATGGTCCTGCCTAGGGTTACCATTCATATGTCGAAATTCATGAGGTAAATTGATTTAAAAAACACTAACAGTGTTTGATCGAGCAAAACTTAGCAAGATAATTACAGAATGTAAGTATCATTTCAAACTTTGTAACCTAAGGATATTTTTTCGGTAAAAATGACCTGTGAATATTTTACGTCATGTACCCTATACGCAATGCATTGTAGGATATATGTTTGGAACAAAACATTGAGTTTTTTTTTTGTTTTCTCTAGAAACTGATCCCACAATGCATTGAAAATCAAGTAGCGATGTAAAAGGCTCAAAGGTCTATTAACATCCACTAATTAAAAGATATGTCGATACAGACACTCATGCGAGGTTGAAACGTTAAGAATATGCAACAACATCCCTATGGAACATTATCGATAACTTAGTACGAAAATAGTGACTTCTACAAATTACTACTAACAGCATTCTTAGTCAAAGTTCCAGCTTACCAGAACATGGCTGTGCGTTGCAGGTCTCTGTTTCGTTGTGAGAACCACTACAGTTCTTTCCACCATGAGCAGGTGGTGGGTTGGTGCAAGAACGGTTTCGATGTCGTGTTCCATTTCCACATAACAGAGAACATGACGTCCAGTTGCTCCACTCGGTAAAATTACCATCCACTGAAAGATATGCCAATACAGAAACTCGTGAGATATTTTAGAACGTTAAGCATATGAAAAGAGGCATTTTAAAAACGTTTGTCGATATTGAGTACAAAAAAAGCGATAGAATTAGACTCTATTACCAAAAGATCTATTTAGAAACTCTTATAACTAATCAACTTTTCAATGAGATACAAAACAAATGAATAAGGTTCACTATGGTTTGAGCAAATTGAGAACAATTGTTTTATTTAACTTTTTTTCCTCACTTACCGGGCTCTGGTGGAATTGGATCTAAACGTTATAAAACAAGAAAATTATATATATCAAAATTATATTGCATCTAATATGTTGATGTTAAATGCAGGCACTCTGACCGGTTAAAAAAACTGTATATTTGCAATAACGCTTTGCATCTTAGTCTCCTTCGCAGCCTACCCTTTTGTCGGGCTTCCTGTCCCTAGGAAGCCCGACAAAAGGGTAGGCTGCGAAGGAGACTATTTGCATCTTATTTTGACGAAAATTTTTATTGTTATTTATTTATATATTTTTTTTTCGGCGGAAAACAACAACAAAAATAAAATAACAACAGCTATTGCACCAAAAATATATATATAGCCCAATTTTACGCTGTCAAGACTGGAAACTAAAATTATTTTTAGACTCTCGGGGACTACTCCGTCGGACACTGTCAGTTTGACTTATCAATCGAAACAACATTTTGTGTGTTCAGCATGAATTAATGAAAGCATTTTAGAGAAAATTGAGCTCTTTTTGAATGAACATTTTTGTTTGTAAAAAAAATAAACAAAGAATTAATTTACGAGATTAATTATTTTAATGTCATTATCCAGTTTTTCAAGAAAAGCCCTTTGATTACAAATTGTCTTTCAAAGTTTAATGGAATCGGGTGTGTCCAGTGAATTTAGGCACTACGAGTCGCTTTGATATAGAGAAAACAATATGCATCTTTCTAAAAGAGAAATAACATTTGTTATCTTTATTAGCTAAAAAAAACGCAACAACACCAACAATGGCACCAAAAGCAGCCCAAGAATTTTACGCGATCGAGACTGGAAACTAGAATTAATTGGAGACTCTGGGGGACAACTCCGTCGGACAGTTTGACTTATTAACGAACTGTGTGGTGTTTCTAATGTTATTATTTTTATTTTAAATCGAAACAACGTTTTGTTTGTTTAGTATGAATTAATAAAAGCATTTTGGAGAGAATTGAGGTTCGTTCATTGAAAAAAAAGTTAAAAAAATGAATAATTTGCGAGATTGATATTCAATGGCATGGTCCAGTTTTTTTAAAAAAATTGTTGACAAACTCATTTTACTAATTGTATTCCAAAGTTTAATGAAATCGGGTGTCCAGTGAATTTGGGAACTATGAAACTCGATCTTTGATATATAAAGAAAAAAATATAACTTTCCAAAAAAGAAAGTAATACTTGTTATCTTGTTACGCGTACAAAAGTAAAAAGGTATAGGCGATAGTCAAAGTCGGGAATAGATGGTTTACAAGCTTTGTAATTCCGGGGACGGCGAAGTGTGCCACCCTGAACGATTTAGAAAGCAAAAAGACAAAGTATTCCGGTGAACCTCAGGAAAGTTGAAAAGACTCTCATGATCAAAAAACTCTCATGAAAACTCTCAAATACTCGAGCCAAAGAAACATTTTCATGACTAATATATTTGTCACGTGTCTTAAGAGAAGTCTGTCAAATAAACAGAATGCCTTGCAAAGAAAAGAAAGAAAGAAAGAAAAATCCTGAAAAAGTAAGTAAAAAGGAAAAATAGAGATGGAATAGAAAGCTTTGTTATATGAAGACACAAAACAAGAAGAATCATCAGTTTTTTTCAGTTTGGGAAAAAAATTGAAATAAACACTGCAGCCGTGATCAATTTCGAACAATTAAGTTATATACGTTAAACGAAATCCTATTTAATGTCCGTTTAAAATGTTAAGCAGAATCTAAGACTTTATCGTTAAATACCTGGAATCGTGAAGTACACAGAGTCTTCGTTAGCCACTCTCATATTGGGCGTGTTCTCTATTGTCCTACTATTCAACTCACAGAGAGACTTTTCTCTGTAGAAGTTGATGCTCTGACAGCCTGGCTTCGCAGCACAGGTCCTAAAGCAGCTATCGATATCGCCAATATTCAGTGTCTCAATAACATGGTTTACAAGCATTGTCCATAATTCTGAGGTTTGACAATCAGACTTAGCGATTTGAAAAGCAAAAGCACAACATATTGCGGAAGAACTCAGGAGCCTTATGATAACACTCATCTTGCACATATGCTCAGTTGACGAATAATATTGACGAGCTCTGTCTCGTCTGGTAAATCGACAGTGTCATATATGCATATATTTGTTTTCCATGCTCACTTTCGGTCTTAGCTTTGATGACGTAACCCTTTGGGATCCGACTACTATATAAATACTATATAAGTAAAAAACTGAAAAAATTCGGAAAATATGTTTTTTGAACATAATTTTCTTAGTATATGATCTTAATAACACGTCAAATAATGCGTTTTCGAAAAGTTCTCGTGAGTAAATGGCTTTTCGTTCATGAGGACTGTCTGAAAAGGGCTTTAAAACACACAGCACAAAAAGGCCCTAAAAATATGCTTATATAACAGAAAATGTCGGCTAATAAACTTAGAATATGGCATTGGCACTCAAAACGTGGACATATATAGTGTGTAGCATTTGTCACACTTTTCGACGATAAAACCTTCCTCATGCCCCCTTTTCCCCAATACAATAATGTTGTGTGGCTTTCTTTTTATTGGCTGTCCATTCATTAACCCCTGCTTGCAACAATTGTTCCAAGATTGCAGCATGCAGTCTGATTTTTATTCTTTAGAAGTTACTACTGTTTAATCTTACAATTATGCTTTTGTAGCTCAGGCACTAGCATATCAACTTGTTTAACTATGCCATTAGTATTTTAGGTATTTAGCGGTATTTCAGGATTTATAACGCAAAAGACCATTCAGTGCTTCGAGTTCTTCACTCTTCACTCTTCACTCGCTTCTTCTTTTTATTGACGCGACAACATAAACATGTAGCAGAGTTAAACAATCGAACCTCTGCATGGGAGAAGGGTAGAGGGAATATATCACAGGAACAGATATTCTTCGTTTTCACTATGTGACTGTATGCGTCACTGCGGCCGTCTTGGATGAACTTAAACAATGGATTTCTCATAACCATCCTGTGTTCATTCTTCAAACATGGCCTCCGGTCTTTTATCTTTTGAATCTCATGAGAATGGTCGAAAACGATCACTATAACGCAGAAAAGGAGGAACAAAATAATTTTGCAGAAGAGAACAATACCTGAACAACTAACTTTCAACATGTCGAAGTAAAGTCCAAATTATTTTTGGTACATGACATTATTTACAATAAATGTAAAGCCGATATCAACAATTTAAATTGCTTGTTGAGTTAGCCTCATGCGTTTTTTTAATTTGTCACTGGTTCATCAAAAAGGTATTATTTTCGCCTGCAGGGGCCGATACATGTTACAGCTATGGGGCTCTCTAAGCGTGTTAATAAACATGCGTTTTAATAATTGGTCGTAACATTACAAATACAAAAACACATTTTTTACAGTTTTAAGTCCATGTACGTGTAACCGATCATTATAGTTGCGATAATTAGCTAAGTAATTCAACGACGTTATAGTCCTTAGTTTAAGATTGGTAGAGAATTTTATAAATGGCATATACTAGCTACGGCTTAGTATTCTTAGCTTCAGTCTTTTAAAAATTCAATTAATGAAGAAGATATTTCATATGTACTCATTATTATGCTATTCTGTAAGCTTTCTATACTCTTATCGAAAAAAAAGCTTGGTTGTACGATTCTCATCGCACAACACACATTACTGGTTTGAAAAATAAATAAATAAATAAAAAACTGTGAATATAGAATTTCGTAAAAGCCCTACAGCTACATGCATGAGCTTGCTTTCAAATTTATAGTCGATTGAAGATGTCAAAAGAGAGAACGCCTTGAGGCAAGTCTAGTATGAAAAATATAAATATTAAATTAACGTCATTTTTTCCTTCGATTTCGTTAGTAACTCGAACACAAAATATATGTCCATTTTCCAGTTCAAAGAGGATAACCGCCGTTTCACATGACAACAGATTCTCTTGCTCAAACCTTACCAGAAACAAAAGAAACCATGAGAATATGCCGTTATTACAATAGCTTTGAAAATTTATCTCTAATAAAGGCTTAAAAGCCTTTTGGGAATAAATCCTTAGCCTCAACTCGGAGAAAATGGAAATTGGCAAAAGAGAATCTGTTGTCATATATGAAACAGCGGTTACCCTCTTTGAACTTGAAAATGGAGTATTAGTCCGAGCAGGAAAGCTACTCGTCCACAAGAAAATATGTTGTATTTTTGCATAAAGAAAACGCTAGAATGTCCATTTTTATGGTTTTCAATTTTGAGCCTTGGGTTCTCAAGGTTAAGTATAACCGACTTATTTACTTTTAGAACTTAGAATGGTGTTGAGAATTACCAGGTAATACAGTAAAAACCCGCGTGTAAGAACACCTATTTTGGCGGTTCAGGCTGATTTGGTTCTTATATAATTATAAAGGGTTAATTATAATCTGCAAAATCAGCCTAAGTGTTCTTAAAAAAATTCTTAAAATAAGGAACATACTTGGCTACCAATAGATGAAGTCAATATATATGCATGCACACAATTTTAAGTAATAAATACAATGATGTAACTATATATATAATTTAGTTACAAAACATTGATAAAAGCAAATGTGTACAATGAAAAGTAGTGTCGATCTTAAATATTTTTCCATATAAAAACTTTCATTTTTCAGGTTGAATGCGTTCTTATATAAATGGTACTTTATTTCCTAAAATCAGGCCTGGGTGTTTTTAATCCACTTGTTCTTATACGCGGGTTTTTACTGTACTATACATCCTCTGAAATGTTCAAGTCAAATGCTTCCATCTATAGCTGCTGTGCTCGTGGGTTTACTGCAAAGGTTTGAACATTTTGTGGCGCTAAGTGCGTAAGTAAGGACATTAAATGAAAAACCAGTGTTTTTTTTTCAACGCATTTTCGATTGCGCAACGGTTCGCACGAGTGAAGCTGTCGGAGAAATAAATTCCCAGTTATATTGGCAAACTCTAGTCAACGAATTGGCATGTGACACTTATTCATTCAGTGGCAAAAAGAGCTGCAATTCAGCCCCTGGCAATTGTACTATGGAATAATAACATCACAGTATGTTTACATAGCGGATAGATGCTCAGAAAGACCAAAAATGTGGACCAATTACTATTCTTTCGGAGAAAGAACTTCAGTGTTATTTATTCAATAGGACAATTAAGGAAAATGTTTTAGATCAGGGGAATACCATTAAACATTGTTGGGCTGCTTGTGCATTTTGCTACTTGACTGCTTTCTGTTTCTTGTTCGAGTATCAACCTGTCCAATAGCCGACTTTAGATATTTCGGTTCAGTGGCCATGCAAAAGAATTGCAAATGGGGCTCCGAAAAAAATCCATTTTTTCTCAGCGAGAGCCTCGTCTGCATTACGATTCTTTTGTAAATGGTTACTTAACCAAAATATCTAAAGTCGGCTGTTGTGTTGAAGTCCATCATTTTTTTTTCTTGTTTGTTGTGTGGTGTTTAAAGTAGCCTCCTTGGCAGACGTTATAAGTATCAGTCGTACGTTCCCTAGCGACGTTATGACCGGCCTTCAAAAGAGGCTATGTTTGAAGTAGTTTGAAAACTAAGAATTTGCTTGGTGATCCGACAGTGTTGGGTGATGGTGATTCACGGGAGACAGGCATATCTAGAGGTACGGACTGCATATGCAAAAACAGCAATGTCTTCGGTGATGAAGATTCGTTTATATCTAACTTTAATAAATTACTTTTCTCTTGTCTTTTACTTAAAAGACTTAAAATTTTCATGACGTATACTATTTCTGTCATGTGAGGTTTTAGTTGAGGTTATGTAATGACGAATCCTGGATACACCCCTGAGTTCGGTGGTCAAACCTAATTTCTACTGTTTAAAGGAGAACTCCACTTTACGTTAACCCTATAGTTTTTGATTAATCGAAGTTTCTTCTTAATAATAACCAGGGGATTTTGACTCATCTTCAAAGGCAAGAGAGAAATATGCGTTGAAACGAGAAAAAATTACCGACATGAATGCCGCCATCTTGGCAGGCTCACATATCAGCGGCGACTACCATGTCGTTGAAGCGCCAAAATCACTTGGTAATCTTTGGGAAGGAACTTCTATTAAAGGGACACTGTCAATGGATGACATGCGCAGTAACAGTTTCACCTCTAACAGACTTTGAAAGTATTACCTTCGAGGTAAATCATTTTGTGGTGCTTTTGACACACTTTGGAATATTCTAGATCTGTTTACTTTTACGAGCTGATTTATAGTGTTTTCAAGTTTACTCGCGCATGCGTGCCATTGACAGTGTCACTTTAATCAAATAACTATAGGGTAAAGACAAAGTGGAGTTCTGTAAGCGAGTAAAAGTTCTATAAAAAAAGGCAAACGAAATCAAGAATTATACAGAAATATTTACAAGGAATAGCAAAACAACGCAGTCACGGAGACGAAAAACGGAAGTTAAAGCATGTGAAAAGTCAGCTTCTTTTGCAGTCTGCTTTCGATCATTTCAAGGTATACAGTGGCAAAGTCCTCTATAATGTATATATGTCCTCTATACATTCTTTACCAGTACTCAACGTGCAATGTTAATTTTTTTTGTAACGTAGTTTCTGCACATCGTCGTGTAGTTTAATGGCAGGTCCCAGTGTAACTCCAAGAACCTTGTGAATATCATCCAGTGACAACAGCATTAACGCTTTACCGTCAACTTCCTGAAATATCAACGACAAGCAAACATGAATTATCGAACAATTCACTCTTTATCACAAGACTACACCAGAAGGCCATTGGGGAATTCAAACAGCAATCTTGACCAGTGAAAGTTTTGATAACAGAATCAAGAAATTAACATGTTGTTAAAGAGAAGTTTTGCAGTCTACGGCCGATTAAAATACGTTCGTCCAATTGAACACAATGTAGTAATGACAATAAATCCTTAGTCCGAAATGCTCATAAACTCAACTCTAGAAATTAGATTAGACGTGATGGACGATGTCTGAGCCGGTTCTAACTATAGCAAATACTCAAGTTTCGAATTCAAAGCGAATAACCGCTGTTTTATTTGACAACAGATTCTCTTGCGTAAAAAAACTTACCAAACACAAAAGAAAGCACGACAAAATGTTGTAAGCACAATAGCGCTAACAATGTACATTTTCTCCGAGTTGAGGCTAACCTTGTATTCCCAGAAGGCTCATACCTTAGGTCTTATGGGAATACAGGGTTAGTCTCAATTCGGGGAAAATGCAAATTTGTTTTTCGCTATGAAAAAAATGCAGTATAGATCCCTTGCAGTTCATGGGAATGCAGCTCCAACTGGAGAACAAAACAATAGATTCTAGTTCGCAAGAGGATAAAAATCTTTTGTTTTGTCCTCCAGATGTAGCTGTTTTGACGTCACATGCAAGGGGTCTATTGCACAGGGTTTTTTTTCGTTGTATGTCCTCGCTACGCTCCACTTGAGTTCTGAACATTTTATGACATCAAGAGTGTGTCAATAATCATACTGAGGACAAAAACAAAAACAAACAAAAAATAAAATAAAAAGATGAAGAACTCAAAAAAGTGCGCAATTTGTTAAATAGCATCTTTAGACAAATACAGAGGAGTAGAAGTAGAAACTCATAGACTGATACAACAGGATGATGGCAGCATTCCTCATTTTGCAAATTTGAACAAATTGTTAGTCGGCGAGTAATTTACAAAACGGTTCCAAACTTGAAAAAAAAAAAATAAATAAATATATAAATAATAATAATAAAAAAAAAATCATAAAAAAATAATAATAAAAATAAATAAATAAATAAATAAATACAGCCTTTTGCAAAAATTATGAGAATTGCTGAAATATCTAAATATCATAATATCAAGTGCATGCCCCCGCGCGATGCCCTTAGTCCCTTGTCTTTGTTGTTTAGTTTTTTTTTT